GTTTTCCTTAAATTATAGTGGTTTACGTATATACAAATATGTCATATAATAGGTAGTAAAACCTTCGATATTTTAGCAAGAACACTCAAATATTAGATATATACTGTTAATCATAGTTTGATGGCCAGTTTTGATTGGTGGACAGTATGTAATTTTCTATTAGTTTTTATTCTCCTGAATAATTTTAAGGAACATTGTTCATAATATCATAATGCAATATAACAATTCAATCCCTGATCGAATAATATTGCCATCCAATATAATCTCTGTTCATCAATGGCAGTAGTAATAACAACATTATATATTATTTAGAAAAAAATATTTAAATAACACTTACCTACATTAATTACAAATATTATATGTTTTAACGTTTATAGACTAAGAGATATAAAATACTTGACCTGCACTATTCACCGAAGGATGAAAATTGTACGGCTTAAAGATAAGTATCCCTTGGTCATAAAACCGCAAAGTCCAGAAATGTACCCGGTTGGGTAAAGGTAGGATGAAAAGTTAAAATTCTAACCAATTCAAGTATCACCCCTAAGACAATTACGCGAGCTTTAATAGTTATTTTGAGTATGTTATCAACCAAATGTATTCCTGGCAGTTTTTTCGGTTATCTAAAAAATATAAAATAAATAATTGGTAAATTCGCCAGGCTTGGAGATGGTACTTAAATTTTTCAAAATATTAATTCTTCATCCTACTATACCACTAACCGTGTAACATTCCTGGGGTTTGCGGTTTTATGATCCACGGATACCTCTTAAGCCATACAACTTTTATCCTTCGGCAAGTAGTATAGGTCAAATGTTTCATATCTCTTAGTCTATTATCCATGACCGATAAAATGAAAGCTATAAAATAATTAAACTAACTATAATTAAGTACACATGATATACAACGTTCCAATGTAGGGCAACGTTTCATTTAAAAGTATGGTAATTCATAGTTTATCTGAAATGCTAAAAAATAGCCTTAGGTATTAAAATTTGATCTTACGTTTTTTATTCAATTTCCACGAATGTAATCTTTAAGTTCTTATTACAGCACACAAAAAATGAGTTTTTAAAATTCTGATAAGTTTTCCTTTTAAAAAAAAAAAATAATAATAAAAATCCGATGATTTTAGATGTCTTTATACTTAAGTATAAAGAACCTACGGGTTTAGTAAAAATTTAGAAAAGTGGTGTCAAGGCTGAATCATTTTGAGATAGGTAGTACTGAAATCTTTACAAAAAAAAAAAACGGCGTTTCGAGATGAAACCTAAATACATAGATGACAAGATTTATACATTTATTTTTTTTTAATATTACAAACGTTAGGGGATTGGAGGTGGGCAGTTTTTAAGGAGTTTTATAAAGGCAACACATACAAATAAAATGGTTTTTTAATAAATTTCAACCATGTCAATTTATTTTCGCCTTATCTCACTCCGCCACGCGCCTGCACTTTACGTAGTAAAAGCTCCAAGGTATAATTTTTAAATTTACATAATAGCCATTTTGGGTTATTTTAAAAGGAAACCCAATTTAGGCCACCAATACCGATTGCCGAATAGCCGGGTAGGTTGATGACAGCTTTGGTTGACTCCTTGATTCCTGTGAAAACGTTATTTCGTTGGAAAAGGTCGCACTTACATTACTTGTTAATGTTGGAAACCCTTTTTATCTAATGATGACGACCCCACACCTGACCCCCAAAACTATACATACACTAAACAACCAACTGTTTCTGTAGGATTAGGAATTCTTTTAAAATAATTTAAACACTTCTAAAAATTAATGGCGATAATATAATAATAAAGAATATGATAAGTTTAACATTTTGGTTGAATCAAGATAATCGACTAAGTAGTATTGCAAGCAAAGTTATAAGACTAATCGTCGTAGTCGCACTACTCTTCTACGGGTGTTTCACAAAGACATGACAAAAGAAATAACTTTTGTTCTAGTGAATATTTTTAAGATTTTTTGTTGTTAAATTAATTTATACTAATTTACGCTATAAACACTATGGTTTTGATTGCTCTTAACTGTTTTACTTTTTTGAATTATTTTTTTTTGGTTACTTTAAAAGTATTAAATTTGAGATAGACATTTTATTAAGAATAATTTGCTGAAGATTTTGACTGGTCTACAACTAGTTTTGGATAATTACTTTTAAAGTTATTTAAGGTTAAAATATTCGTGAATATTGAGACTTACAGTAGAGGTACAATATGAATAAAGAACTTTTCGTCAAAAAACAACTTAAAAAATGTATTGAGTGCACACTATTAATTTAGGGTTAAACCTCCGTTTTTCCTTATTCTAATATACTATTTTTCCTAATAGTTAATTAAACGATGCAATTGACCGAGCATTACAAAATAGTAAGGTTATCTATTGTTTATTGTTTAATATTTTATCGTCAAGACTCGAGTACCTACATTTCTTAATAAATAAAAAAAAAATTTATTTGAAAATTCGTATTTCATATTTATTGAAACTTAACATTTAATTCGAAGAATAAGCCATCAAGTATTACACGAAGGTATTATTAGTTCAAAACTTTTCTTGGCGATATTTTAAATTGACTTCTATATGCATATAAAGTAAGCGTATTGTCTTATTAAATCCCACGTGAAAAAATATAATTATTCCACGCCTACGATAAACATTAGGCTTTACACTTCATAGCACTAAAAAGAAATGGCATATTGCATTATTTTTATTACTTTGTAGTATGTACAAAACACACGCATAATGTTTTTGATAAAAGCAGGCTTCAGGCAAAATATTCAAAATTAACAATAAAACATCAGAAACTACAACTGTGCAAAAGGTGCAGGTTAAAACTAAAATGCAATACCTGAGTATTAAACACTTTATGATTAAGCTAAACGAAAATACAGATAGTGGTACAGACTACAGTTAGTTTCAGATAGAATTATTTGAAATTTCGGCAACATCTTTTTGTTCCCTTTCTCGTAATCCAAATCAAAAGAAATCCATCAAAGTCCTGGTAACTTTTTAGTAAGTGTGCATAATGTATTCTATCGACATGGTTTTTTTTTTAATATACGATGTAATTTAAATTTTAAATTATTCACTAACGCTAGACAACGTTGCTTCTAGATTGGATAGGTTAGGAAATAATAACCAGTCCAAAGCTAAGAACAACCGTACACTGCGGATCATAGCGTGGAACGCCAACGGGCTAGTACAACGTAAACAAGAACTTGAAAACTTCTTAAACACTGAACAAATTGTCATTGCTCTTCGTACACTTCATATCATGGACTGTTTTAAAAATAAAAAAACTATAAAATCTATACAACTTTGCACCCGCGTGGTAGAGCACACGGAGGGAGGTACAGCTGTAATCATTAAAGGACTATAAATTACGAGCTCGAGAGGATCCTCCATTTTACAGGATTTCCATTAACATTACCAAGTGATGATTTACCTAATATTAGTAACTGTACCTACTTAAAATGTACTCTCTGATCGTAAAAATGTTAATTTTAACATATTTAATATTCGTTTACATAGGGGGGTCATTCCACGTGAAATCGCCTAAGGGGTGTGCGACTATACTTCAAAAATGTTTGAAATTTTTATCATACATTCTCTATAGGTCCTTGATAACAAAAACATAAAAAAAAAATTTTTTTAATTTTTTTTTGGACCTAGATAGGTCAATTAAAAAAAAAAAATTATCCAAAACCACCTCATGTTCCCGACTCTGTAATTTGACCGCCGATGGTGGTATAGGCATAAAACCTGCACAGTTAAAATTCTAATTAAGTGTACTTTAACCATATTTTAAGAAAATATATTTTTTTTATTTTTTAACCCTAGAAAATTTTTTATTTTTTTTTAATTTTTCAAAAACATTTTTTGGGGTCAAAAAGTTAAAAATTAAAAAAAAATATTTTGTTTATATAAAATTTAAGTTATGTTCTTATGATCCATATCATCTTTGAACCAATTAAGTTTTTTTTTGCTATTAATTTACGGCTTCAAACATGGGTATTTTGCTGAAAACTACCTACTTTAATGACCCACAACACAAAATCACGCAATACTTACTTATAAGTGAGAAGATCATCTGGTAAAAGTTTGGTGATGGAGAAATTATTCTAACATCCGTGGTAAGCGATCAAATTTTACGATTTACACTTATTGGAAAGATACACAATTTACATTTACATTTTGAACCTTTACCACTGATGTTAGAATAAGCCACCAAACTAATAAATATGCGAATATACGATTAAAATGTAGTTAATATTATAATACTACACTAAAACTTGCCGACTTCCGTTATTGATGAAATAGCTATTGACCAAACCATTTACCAATTAATATTTGTACATAAATGCTATCATTATTAATCATACACCTTCTTAATTTATCCGCGAAAAATTGATTTTGGGGAGATAAGTATGTGAGGGCAGTATTACAGTATCCGCATACATTTTTTACAATGGACAGAGAACATTATGTATGCCGTAGCGTTTTTAGTTTTTGGATAAATTAAACACAATACAAATTAATCATTTTTTTCTTTAGTTTAAAAAAAAAAACATTAAGTATAGATATAAAAAAAAGCTATAGCAAAGATAAAGTTCTTCACTATACATTGAGAAAATTTGGTTAATCTACTGTTAATACTGACCTCACTTACTTGCCCCGCGCAAAACCGTTTTGATGAGGAAACTATTTTAATTTATTCTATAAAAATACTGATAGTCAAACAAAAAAAACGGCAATAAATAAAGAGTCCTAATAACTGTATGTATTAATAAATATACACAATAGTTCAAGAGCTAAATTAAGATTTTGAGAAAAATTGCCTATACTTTATTCCTTAAAATGGGCGGTGTAGGGTCCTCTTAAATAAATTATTTTTTCAAAACTTACTTTACATACATAGACGACAAGCTAAATTGTTTGGTATCGTAAAATGTAAATAAAACAATTACAACATTTTTGTGTAGTCCCAAAAATGGTTATTTATCCCAGTATTTATTAATTATAAACACCATATCAGTTTTATACTATAGTCTATAAGGAACTAAAATAATAATTAATTTCATAATATGAGGTAAAAACAACACAACACAGTACTAAGTGAGAACAAATATAAAGTAGTGAAGCCTAATGTCAAGATAGTTTCCTATCTTATTTTTCTTAACAATAAAAAAACATACAATTATTGTATAAATCACACAGAATTCCAATTTGTCAAAATACTGACTTAACTTGTACAACAAACAAAAATACTGAACAACTATTAGGAATTTAAATAAATTCGAGAGAAAAAAACTCAATACAAAATAAAAAGGTAACTTAAAATAGTTTGCTTACAACAATTTATGTGTAATTACTTTTTACTAATTAGGACAAATTAGTTTATAAACTGAAAGTAAATACACAAAATTATGTAATCAAAATTTTAGTATTTTAGGTATTTTACCCACCCAACTAAAATTAAATAAGCATGCATTTATTTCCATGCTTGATTTCTTTCAATAATAGTTTTTTCATTGTCCGAATACCTAAGAATACTAATTATAGCATTTAAATGTCCTGTACAATTAGCCGGATCCGTAAGGTAATAGTAAAAAGCTGATTTCAGAAACTGCAGTGTCATTTCGGCATCGTTTATTGGACGTTGCCGTTGTTGTTCTAGTTGTTGCTGAAGCATACTTTCATACATTGCCTGAAAAGTGTTAAACACAACTATTAGTCATATTGTAATAAGTACTTTTACATAAAGCTTCAGTAACAATAAATATTTTCTATAACTTATTACATAGTGCGGGATATTTGTACAAGTAATGAAACTATACACATAAAAAATAATCAAATTAAAAATAATGTGCAAATAAAACTAGTAAACATCACCTGATAAATAATGGACTAAAAAATTACGTTTATCAGAGGTATTCAAACTGTGCGTCGCGACTCTCAGGGGCCGTCATGTGACTTGGTCAAGGGAGCTGTGGCCTGTAATGTATCGTGTTGTCAGGTGCTTGTTGGAAGCCATCACAATATTGTGGACACACAAAGGAGCCGTGGAATGAAAAAGTTTGAATACCTCTGACGTATATAAATTAAATAAAAAGCATAGAATATTTGACATATAACAAAATAACCATCAATTTTTTGCATAATACGTTTGCTAAAGAACCAAGAAAGAGTTGCTAATTTAAGAAAACTACATTTAAACAATATTTACAATAATAAAAATAAAAAAAGAAACAACATGAAAATATAATCAATAAATAATAGTAAATCAAAAAGCATCATCAACATATTACACAATATTTAAAAAAGACGTGAAAAATACTTGAAAAACCATGGTATGTTATAAAAAAGAACATTAAAATTTGTATTAAATAACAATTACTACTCAACTTAGTCAAAACTCATGTTCAAATAATAAATAGTACAGAAAAAATAAATTATCACACAACAAAAAGTACTATAGTCTGCTTAAAATAATTTACATGGTATAGGGGAGGGAAGCCAGTATATAGGGTTGAGGTAAAAACGCTAACTTCAAGCAGATATTATGTATGAAGGATAAATAATCAATAATTAGGTCATAAATTGATTAATTTGGTAGGCACTTTACATCAATCATCATTTAACGAACTTAAAATGAAAAAAATTCCAGAACTCTACCGGTCGGTGAAAATTTGAAAATTGTATTATGAAAAAAGTGGCGTATAAATAAAGTATAATACAAAGTTAAAAATTTGTTATCACATAATGAGCTAATACCGGTTTTAGTTAATATAAATAATTAATTAAATTAACTCAAGTCTAAGGTGTAAGAAGACACAGCTAGTCTTAAACAGACGATACATCTATTTAGAGTTCAAAACCAAACGCTGTGAGAAAAGGGATCATATTAAATAAAATGGGTGTCCATCACCGGTTGTACCAATTATTTGTGTAAAAAAAAAAAAGTTTTACATTAATTAAATTGTTGACGTTTAATAAAACTAAAAGAGTTGTTGTTCTTCAGCTAAATCTGAATGTTGTGAATAAATGGGATACATTTCAAAATGTGGCAAAAACATTGCAGCTACTATGTCACATATATAAAGGAAGATTATTTTAACATGATTCTTTTGTTATCAAAATAAAAGTAAAACAGAGTAAAACAAAAAGTACCAAGTAACTTAATAAATGTATGTACATTTAAATAAACTGTACAACAAAGATGAAATATAGAAAGTTGTGCCTTAATCGAATCTAAATTTTACCGAAAAAATGACGAAATGTTATTAAATTAAATTAAAATCTTTTTTGAAACAATTAGTGGATTGGTAGACGTTGTAGGTTAAGAAGAATACCTTTATATAGTATAAATGTCTAGAATCGTTATTTTATGTTGACACACAATATTTCACAAATTTATAATTTAGTTGAAAGACAGCATAATAATTGTTTTAATTCTATGTTATGTTCATTGCAACCTTCTCATCGGACATTCATTAATGCTCTTAACAAGAAGAGTTTAAACCAATATAAAATGGAACATTATACTGCTGACTTTAAACTACCTAAGAAAAAAATATAAAAAAACAAACGATGCCGAAGAAAAAATAAGTCATGGAATCCAATAAAAGATCTTTTAACAACTACTTACATGGGAAATTTGCAAAAAATTTGTTTGGGCGACATTGTTACTGCAACGATTTTACTGAAATAATTTTAATTGCACACCATTTTAATGATCTGAATGAAAGAACACCACACCTCAATAAAAGTACCGGCAAAACTACAAATCAAGATGAGAAATCTTATATATATATAAATATATATATTGATAATAGATAATAATAAGATGATAAATAAAAAATATACATAAATAAAAAATTCATATAATTTTACTGTATACCTTTAAATGAGTTCAAGTATTTTTATAAATCTATAAGAATTACTGCCGTAGCAAAAATAAGATAAATAGATATTTTTGAACTCTAACTCCCATGCATATTACTACCTACTCTAACGTCTTATGAAGACAAACCTGTTTAGTGCCGATCATCCAAAGGGCAATGGCGTCAGGTCCAGATAATAAAGCACCACCGACACTTTGACTACGTCCCTAAATTTTTAACAAATTCTAAAAGATTCTAAACAAAATTGTAAGTTACTCGGGAAACCGTGTAATTACGTATGGCAAACTAATATTGAATAATGTTGACACATACACAGTTGACAGTTAAATTAATTGTGACTTATAAGACATTTTTTTCAATTTTTCTTCTCTAAATATATACCTACTTTGGTTTTTTTTAGTTCCACCTTCATACTATTAATTTCGTCAATTGATTTGTCATCTACTTGATTATCAGTTTCAGTAATCTATAAATAAAAACATTGTATAAAATAAAGATAATTTAATCTCGGAAAATAAATATATTAAAACAAACTTTTTCTAAACACAAATCTAGCTGTGTTTGGGTTGCAATTTCAGACACAGTAATTTTGTTATCATTTACTGCGAAATTAGATAAATTCATTTTTGCACCATTAAAATGATCATTCAGATTATCAGTATTAGTTTGCTAATAATTAAAAAAACAACACTAGAAGTTACAAAAATTCTTGTTAAAATTTTAAAAGTATATTATAGAAACCTTGACATCCATTAATACTGGCTGGGTCTGGGTCAGGCCATCAATAAATGCTTTTTCACAATTTTCTGAGTTTGATGACCGTTTTAAAAATTCATTTTCTCTTTCAAGTTCTTTTATCCGGATATTAGCTTCATCCAATTTTGGTTTTAACCCATAATATCTAGACAATGAATTAAAAATGTAGAGTACACATGATGTTTCCGTATTTAGCATATAAGAACATACTTTTCATTGAGTTCACCTAAATTTTTTAACAATTCTTCAATTTTATCATTATGTTTCTCTCGTAGTTCATCATATACTTGTCGCAACTTCTTAACTTCATCATATTCATCACCATGTCCAGAGTCTGCTGGAGATGGTGAAGGATTTAAAAAATTTCTAGATAACTTGCTAAACAAATAAAACTTGAAATTAATAATTAATTTAAAATAAATATCATTATATATTTATGAAATTACCTAGAATCACATTCAGAAGATAGTTCTTTACTATGAATAAACTGTGGTCTTTCTTCTTCTTCATCTCCTTCTGCTATTGAATCATTTGCAGCTTGATAACCACATTTAATTTTAAGTTCATTATTTTCTCTCTTCAAATTTTCAATCTCTGTATCTTTTTCATTAAGTTCACTATGAGCATCATTTAAAAGTCTCTATATTTTGCAACATAATACTAACATTACAACATGTTTTATTTGAAATTACTTTTATTTAAAAATATTACTCTGAGGTTTTTAATGGTTCTACTTGATCTTTGTGTTGGAGTAAGATATTCTTCACTTCCTATATTTGATGGGCAATAATGAAGATACGCTTTTTTACGATTTGAATATGTAGTTCCGTTTAAAGCAAATACAGCATGACTGCTATCACATTGGCTACTGGTTGTGCTACCAAAGCTCTTCTCTGATGCACAATCATCATCTTTTTCATAGGTATTTAATGCTTGCTATGATTAACATAAAGAAATATAGGTTAGAAATTATAAAAGTTTTAAGTACCTATATTTTTAGTTTTGTTATACTAATTTGTACTTTTAACAGTGACAATGCTAAGAGTAGGAAAATGATTGGTTTATCTAAGAACACCCGTCTTTTGCACAGAATATTAGCCCTTACCCAACTAATGTACCTAGTATTATAATCTATTACCATAATTCTGATTGTAGTTGAGAGTTAAAATAAATTGTTTTATGTATTATCCTTTTGTGCAGTTAGGATTTAACAAGCACTTATTTAATTTTAGCTCGTCTAAACTTTTAGAGCAAACAATAAAATTACAGATTCCCAGCATACTCTACTGCTTTTACAGTTATAAAGTTTCCAATGCTACTTTAATTTGTTCCAAACAATTTTACTTACTACACATTAATTATTTTAATAGTACTTTTTACAAATTCATAACAACATCTAAACTCGATGGGTTTAAACTAGGTCATATAACCTATGTAATAATAAAGAAAATATAAAATACACAAAACATATAGATAGTTATTAAATTGACTCTTGAATAATTAGCAAAGGTATCTTACAACAATATAAATCCATACACTTACCAAACTTTGGTGTCTTTGTATTTTCGGGGTTCTGTTACGTAGCAAACTAGGCTTTGGTATTCTGCTAGGTGAAGCATTATTACTACTTGACATGCTAAATTTAAAACACAAAATTTAAAATTTAGGTGATTAATACATTAGAATTAGAACAATATTTTATAAATGTGTTTTTATTGTTCATACAATATAGTAGATAAGGTAGCCAACAATTCAGTAATTTAAACACATTAACCTAATTTGCATATAGTACCTAGTTAAACCATTTTACTCAATATAATATAACTCAAGTGTTTAAATCCGAATTGTAAATTATTCATACTCGAAGTTAATTTAACCGGTTTTTTAATGATAGCCTTGACCAATACGTAAACAAATAACAATCATCAATTTATTATGTATGTATTTATCTATAATATTTTTAGACAATTATTGTAGAATGTAGTATTCACTATTCGCAGAAGTCATCTCAAATAGTGATAACTGATATTCATAGTGTCTAATGATATTACCGACTACTTAATTTATCAATAGCACTAGCATTTGGCAATAGAAAAGTGACAGATTAAGACGTATTACCTATAAATATACCTATGTATTAAATTTTAATCACTATTAACTGATAATTATTACGGTCGGTTTAATAGTATCTTTAATTTGATTCCTAGCCTTGAAATTTATAAGATAAGCCACATCATCAACAACACTGAGAACACTACGATAAGGTAATTTTTAATTTTCAATGGGGTCTAGTGGTAATGATAACTAGCGCTAGTGGTGGTCCGGTTTTATCACACAGTTATATTTTATATTATAGCATAATTTTTACAAGAGTTCTCAATGAAAATTGAATTATTACTAGGCAACTAGCAAGTTATACATCAAGTATATAGATGTTTAGTGAATAGTGGTTGCTTAAATATAATTAGTGGCCCCTGATTTCTCAATTAAATTTGAATAATCCATTTACTATTAAATACATCAATTATTTTTCGTGCAACTCGGTAAAAATCGAGTAGATTTAAAAAAAGTAAAACATCCAAATTGGCAACCGCTCCCGAAAAATGTAATAATTAGTTATTATTATTTTTAAATTCTTTAGCGGTTATAGCCTAAAGTCGGGTCCACACTGGCCTAGTTTACTCCGCACACATAGGTCACGTTACCTGACCATTGTTAGGTAAGGTAAAACGGTGTAAATGTATTAAGTTATGTATTATAATAATTGGTCAGGTCAGGTCATATTTTTTGCTTACCTCGCCAATAAATGACCGTTGACAATAATAGCGCTTCTGGTGTAAACAGTTTTAGACGATAGGCCGTTATCTGGTTATCACGAATTGTAAATTTATGATAAGATTTAAAACTTATAAGTGATAAATTATGTTTTTACATTTAAATACGTTAATAATAGTTTATACTTTATAGCATTATAGTGTTGTTAATATTATTTCAAGGTATAACAGTTATTAATTTATTATAATGGGCTTGAGACAAATTTAGGACACATGGTGTAAACATAAAATGTTTATAGGCAAGGCACCTAATAAAAGATGTAGGTATACACAGTATAGTTACAACGGTGTAAACTAGGCCACTGCTGCGTAAAAAGTTCGCAAAAGTTTGTCAATTACAAGATTTTTAAGATTAAAGAAAAACTAAAAAAATATTCATTTTAACCCGTGCTCCACAAGAGTTGAAGTTTAAATGGGATTTAACATAGAATTTCAACACTTGGAAACGCCTATTTATTGTTAAACTTTTATTTTCTGGCAACAATTTATTTTATATACTTTTGGGAATAGTGTACATGTTTAGCAGACTCTAAGCTATAAAACCATCAAAACTTCAGCTCAAATTAAAGAATAGGAAAAAAGTTTTGCATTGATTTGTGCACAAGTGTCGAAATCCTATGTTTAATCCTATTTAAACTTCAACCTTGGTGGGGCACGGGTCAAAATTAATATTTTTCAAATTGTTTTTTTTTTTTTTATCTTATTTTCATTGTGCTTAGAAACTATTTAGGGGACGTCGAGGTTAAAATTTGAGACTCTCGGTTTACTGGTAACAGTTTAGTATACCGGAATATTACAACCAATCTCATGCAAACGTTTTGCGCGGCAAAATTTATATTATGTATTTAACGATTAATAGTTTCTGAGAACTAATGAATTGTTTGAAAGTCTAATAAAAGGGTGTTTAAGTAGTTTAGTATTAGAATTATTTGACTGCGACGGCCTCTTAAAAAACATCTGGAGTACAACACTTACAATTCTGTATCGATTTATTAAAAAAGGGGTAGCAATAAATGCATATTGTTATGCTTTCGGTTGAGATGTGAAATAGTGTGCACTCGTAGATACAGTATATTTTAAAAATTTGTAAAACGTTAAAATTATTCAAAAACAACAAAATTCGGTTATTGACCACTCAAAATTATGTTTTATTAATTTCAAATTTAACACAATATAATATATTATACGAAGCATATTATGCTTCGTGAGTTAATACAACTTTGGAATATAATAACTCAAATATCTACAAATATGTTTTTAAACAACATCACAAATACTGCCTGCCCAGGTTCATTTTATTGAGCCAAATTATTTGAATTAATAAGAAATATAATTTGTAAGGTGTCAAGGTAATACCGTGGTTACAGCTTTGAAATGTAGGTCAGCGTAAAAGTACGTCACTAAAAAGCAAAGATCCGGATAGTGTTCCGGCCAAAAATCATTACTCACTCATAAAATTAAAAAATAATAATAGTTAAATATTAAAAAATACGTGTGATGTAAAAAAATGTTTACTCAATAAATCACTAATAACTTTTCTTGATATTATTTTTGGCTTTTTTAGTGGCTTCACATAATTATTAAGGGTAATTGTTTTTATATAATACATTGGTTAAAAAAACAAATATCATTGTAGTTTATATATCATGATATATTTTAAATATAAAACTATAACATTTGACCCGTGCAAAAAAAAAAAATGTCAATAACATAACATGTACAATATGTTTTTTTTATCATTATAAACTAATACGAATAAAAATGAAAATTAATTTTTATAAAAAAAACAATTGTATAGTTTATTAATCTATATGTTTTGATGACTTTGAGTACTAAAACAAAACACAACACAGATTTAGTTAAAATCCACTTTTTTAATACTCTTTAAAACTTACTTTAGATACACTCCAATACCAGTTATTTATATATTCACCAGCTAAATATGTAAATGGTGCATAAATAAAATTTGCAACGAAGAATAACACTCTCGTTATTAAATTCAATCTCTCCAGTATCGGATAAACCCATAATCCAGTTTTATAAAATATAAAATTAATCCTGTAAACAATTATTTAATACATTAAAAAAATTAATTGTAATTATTGTATGCATTTGATCAATTTATAAAAAATAATAATTTGACAAATGACAATTGAGTAAAAACGTTAACATTCGTGTTCTACTTTTTCGAAAAATATAACTAAACTTCACGTTACTATTTACGTATAGTGCAATTATAAAAGTCTCAAAATAAAAACTTCCTTTCACATTTTTTGTAATATAGATTATACTTATTTAAAATATTGTTGATTATTGTTCAATATCAATAGATAAAATAATAAAATACATTTTCAATTGGTAACTAGTAGTTTGATTAAAAATGCTATTAAATGAGAATGGAGAATTAATTACGGACAAAAGAGAAATAGTAGAGTTATTTAAAAAATATTTCGAAACACTATTAAACAGACAAGGACAAGGTAGCACAAACGAACACATGACGTACCGTACTGCAGAAACTGATATCGGAGAACATAAACGGGAAGAAGTAGCAAGGATATAAAAACACTAACGAACAACAAATCACCGAGCGGAAACAAAATACCAGCAGAGCTACTAAAAAAGGTGGAAAGGACTTAATAAACACCTTGTATGGAGTTATTAGAGAATTATTGAAAAGGGGAAACTGTGCCAGAGGAGTGGAATATGACAATACTATGTCCTATTTCAAAGAAAAGTGACCCAATGACCAATGTTAGTGTTAAATCATAGAGGTATATTATTATTAGACACAGGATATAAAGTATTTACAACACTGTTAGTGGACAAAATCAGACCATATGCACCAGAAATTGTGGGGGAATACTAGTGTGGGTTTAAAAAAGAAAAATCAACTGTCGATAATTTCCATAGCATCAGAAAACTAGAAGAGAAACACTACGAATATACTAAGGATCTTCACTTGGTATTCATAGACTTTAAACAAGCCTACAATTCTATTAATAGACAAGAGTTATGGACGGTTTTGCGATGTTTTGGTATTCCTCAAAAATATATAGATTTGATCAGGATGTGTTATAATAAGACTACTTTTATGGTAAAATATCGACAAGAATTATCTGAAATGTTTTAAGTGAAATCGGGCCTTTGCCAAGGAGAAGCATTATCACCAATGCTATTCAACATTGCCCTTGAATGGGTAGTGAGAACAGCTAACGAAACGCGAACAATGGAAGTAGGTGGAATTGAAGTCGTTCTTGCCTATGCGGATGATGTGGTCGTCCTGGGGAATTCCAGAAACGAAGAGGAGCAAACCACAATAAAGCTTTTGGTAGCAGGCAAGGTCATGGGTTTAGAAGTTAATCAAAGGAAAACAAAATATATGTGTACATCACGGAACGGCAGTAATGACTCAAATCTACAATTAGACTCATATTTATTTGAAAAAGTATCATCGTATAAATTTTTAGGGGTAAACATAAACAACAAAATAACGTAAACGAAGAAATAAAAGAACGAGTAGCTAGCACAGACAGGTGTTATTACAGTTTACTAAAAATATTCAAGTCAAATTTATCGAGAGAATGGGCTGGACACGTGTGAAGGGCAGATGGAAAAATTATAAAACTAGTCACAGAAGGAAGAATTGTGGAGAAAAGACCTCTAGGAAGGTCCCGAACGAGATGGAAGGACATAGTAGAGAAATATTTTAAAATGATTTAAGAAAGTGTGCAAATAGAAGATGCGAGTGATAGGGACCGATAGAATGAAATAATGGTGGCAGTGATGGGTGTACATGGCCCGCTAAGCTGTTAAGAAGAAGAAGAGAATTAGTAGTTCGTTTAAACAGTAAATTTTAAAAATTACGTAAACGGTATATCGTATTTTTTTAAAGATAGTTATTGTTTTATCTATCGAGACCACACTGAATTACATACAAGTACTCACCAAAATAAATAACACGCTTGGAAACTTAGATATATAGTCAGCCCCGCTGCTCTGCTTGGATATTTTTTATAGGCAGTAATAATTTCCAACAATGCAAAGAGAAAAATATGAGCATGTGATACATGGTTTAGCCAAACTGGAAAATACAAATCATAATACTTTGGCATAACGAGGGTTTGGTCAGTCAACCACATTGGCCAAAAACTGACGGCAACAAACTGTAAATTATTATTGTTATCATTATTTTGTAAATACCACTTAAGCCAGGTTGCCCAAAAATATTAATCCTACATTAAATGGTTCATTAAAATGTAATGGATTAACCATAAACCACTGATTGTTTTAATGCAACCCGGCATTATTATCACATCATTAACATGTTACTATGTTACACTCACATACAAGTTCTATTTATTATTGATTAATATACTCATAGTTTAAAAATTACAAAAAGCAAATTTATTTAGCTTTTATTTAGAAAATGTTAATGTTAATATTTATGTGTTCAACATTATTGTATTATGGCCCTTCTGTGTGGTCTGAGTGCGGGTTCCCAGTGTGGTGAGGGTATAAAGTCGCTTGATAAGATTTAAAAAAAAGCACTTGTGTTTGTGAAGTTCATAGAGTGTTTATCAGTTTTTATTACTTATTGTAAAATATTGCAAGGAAATCTTTAAATATTTGAAAAATCTTACCGACTCATTTAAATTGACTATTAGCATTTAGTTATACGCACAACTAAAAGCTTCTCTGTAGAGCTGAGAAGATTTTGGTTTTACTATGGTGTATTTTTTTCTAGACTGGTTTATTGCAATGATCAACCTTACCTATGGTAGGCTCGCATCGAATCGTTTTTGAAAGTGGTTTTATCACTTAAAAACTTTATCACTCTCAGCAACTATAATATAATTTCTGAAGACCTGTGTCCCCTCCGACCCACTGTGCTAGATTTTTTTTAATAATTAATTTTTTTTGACATCCTGACGCTAATTTATTCACTTACATTTATTTTTTATAAACTTGTCCTTGATTCCTAACAACTGTATAATAATTTTTTTTTTTAATTTCCTTCATTTGGATGCAGGTTTTTTACAAAAATTGTATTTTATATTGCAGTAACACATGTTCCATTTAAAGTATGGGAATTGTTTAATATGATGAGTAAGTTTATGAATACGTCTAAAAATAAATCTATTTTAAATAATTCAAAATAAAAAAAATTGAGACGTTTTTATAGTTAAAACGCTTACAAAAAATAGTAATTTGTTATTTATCTCTATAAGTATGTGTAATGTAGGTATTTTTATATCATTATGATAATCAATGTATTTTGAAAATTTATTAATTACCATCGAAAGAGGAAAGGCTAAAGCAGTAAAATAAATATTTTTGCATCGGTTCAAAATTTTCAATGTTCCATCGGAACACGTTTTGGATGCGAGTTGGTCAATTAATACGGCCATCATATGGTACAATGTTTGGATCGCCTTAAAACATTACCAAAATAAATAATACAATCATTATAATAACTAAGATAATATAATTTAATTGAAGAACAATACAATAAGAAAGTACTTACCAAGTCACAAAAAGTTAAGTATTTGAACTTTCCTCCGAAAGCCTCATCAAGAGGGTTTAGGTGGGCAGGAATATTAACAAACGTATAGTAATAATACAGTCCATATGAAAATAACGCAGCCCCGGACAAATGTACACCTTTATTAATCGTGTCCAATATAATAAGTACGTTCATTTTTTCAATCTAGACTAGATTTAAAAAAAGTATATAAATATAAATACTAAACAAATGTCTAATATGAAAAATTAAAATACTGAAAGTACAAATGAAAATGTAGTTACTAGTTAGGTATGTTTAATGAAATGGACTTACATCGACTGACGACGATAACGGCTAGCTTAGTTTTAGTCTTTACCTAAAGACAGATAAAACTGTTGAACTTTAGTCCAACGCAATCAACACTTGCAATCCCATAATAAACATGTTTCCAATGATATCATTTGAGCTCATTAGCTTGAATTATTAAATATAAATAGACACACATCAATATTTTGGTCATGGAATTTCACTTAAATTGTGATATGATAATTACATTTTTTATTTAATTTAAGAAGCATAATTTTTTATGGTAATTGAGATTTGAGGTCATAAAAATGTCTATAACTTAAAAAATAAATAATTTCAACGATATACAGGGTGATCAATTTACTGTAAAGCAATTTTATATTTTTTTCTTTTTGAACAAATTTTTATTTATGTAATTATACAATATTATATTATTACCAAATATTTACATTTTTTAGTATTTTTCTGAGCTCTATCAAATTTTAAAACTTAAATGATAACGTACATATTTAAATCACTTTTTAAAATAATCATTGTTTGCTGAAAAATGTTGATTGGTCGATAACCAGTTTTGGATTATTATTTTTCGTTATTAAAGTTTAAAATTTAGGATGGGAGTAAGGCTGGAAAGTAATATTATCACCCTGTATAACACTATAGCAATAGTCATTATTATTTTATGGCCCTGGTTCCATGTAAAATGAATTATTACAAAAAAAAAATTATAATTTAATATAATGATTTGGAACAATTACATATATTTTATTAGCTGCCATTTCAACTTTTATTGTTTTAATTCAGAGTAATTTTTACACGATGATTATCTTGTAGGAAAATTCTGAAAATATTAATAAATTTACATTGTTTAACCTTGGCGTAATTATATGTAATTCTAAAAAGCTGAGAGTAGTAACTTATAGTGTATTTAAATTATATAAAATATGTATATAATTATTATTTGTATTTGATAATTGGTATTATAGTATATTGATTTTATTTATAAAATTAATAGTATCTCAGTTTGTCATCAAGTAAAATTTTTAATATTTTCCAGAAGAAAATTTAAAATAAAAAGTCTAAAATGTCTTTTGTATGTAATACAAACATTGTGATTATAAAAACTTACTGTCAAAAATACCCTAAGTGTTTCAATAGATACTGTTTCAATTATTGAAACTCTTACAATAACTTTTGGAGTTAATACGTTTAAAAAAAAATATTTGTAAAAATAACACGCGTTTAAAAATTGCTAAAGAGTAAAACCTAAAAGCTTTAAGTAGTAATTATAAATTGATAATAAACCAGGTTAAACTTAAAGTGACTATGCTGAATTTAAAATTAAGGTCACTAAATTTTAAAAATAAATAGCTTACATCTCTAATTGCAGTTGGATAGTAAAGTTTAACGGACGTACAACTAAACAAAAATAAAATATTACACTAATAAAATAAATATTTTTTTGATAAGTTTTCATAAGTGGGCAAGTGGCTAGTTAATATTAAATTAAGACCGCAACTCTAAGGTTAAATATCAACTGGCTAACCGTTAGGCTCTATAGTCTATTATTTGTACTTATGTTCCCGTTGTCCCCACCTATCACGCATGCCTTGGTAGTAATTATTAAAGACAAATTTGCTAATTGTTTATATTTATAAACGAGTGGCTTAAATGTGGTAGCATAAAAGTATATCAGTAATAATATGTTTTAGCTTCAATGGGGAACTGAGAAGGTATTGTTTCACAATGATGTAGTTATACTTGAGTGTCTAGAACTACAATTCTCCTACACCGCTGGACCAATATTTTCTATGCAAAAGCCTGAATATTTTAAAAATTCAGTCCTTCCCTTTAAAATCGAGAAAAAACAAAAAGTTCTTTATAAGGTCAAACATTTTAAAGGTTCATTAATCCCTACTTCATGATTGCGAAAAACACCCAAAAAATAAAGAATATAAAATATATTTTAACGCTATAACTATTTTAAAAATAGTCAATATATTTCCAAATTTGTATAGAATAATTTTTAGCCATAGTAATATCGACGTACGTTAATACATTTTTTTGTTTAAAAACATAAACCATCTAAAATTATTTCCCTTAGAAGCGGAAGGGCTGAAAACTTATTTTTTATAAGCGTAGTTTTGGGACTTTGATTTGAAAATTAGACTGAAGATCTAAATCTAGAGTGGAACTCCTTTACAATAGTTTTTATCGATACTTAATACTTATACCATCCGAAAATTCGAATAAAAGTATTTATTGAAGAGTGATTAATCACTCCCAGTTAAAATAATTCTTACAGTTCTGTGACTACACCGCCTCACTAAATGCTCCATTTCCAATATGCCCCAGTCCCCGACCCTACTGTTCTGTCCTATTAATACTAAACAGTACCTATACAGAGACTTTATCACTTTTAATTAATAATTATACCTATGGCTTAACGATTATGTAATTATTATAAATAAATGTGTTTTCTTTAGTCATTAACTAAATTAATCTCTTTTAGTGCCGTATTTATAGTCAGTTTTGAAGCAATGCTTATTCGTAAGAACTGACTATAAATACGGCCTTAAGTCATTCAAGGTCTGTTAAGATTGCATGATGATAAAATCATTGTTATAAATAGTCGTAAAACCAATTAAATGTGTTGAAACTTTCATGGTTTGAACTATTAGTTATATAATTTTCGGATCTATTTTGTCATTAGTTAGCAGTCATACTTAAGAGTATGGTCTTAAAAGAATTCGTACATCTACCTCAACACTTCCGATGAAAGTTCAATATTAAAAATTATTCTATACTAATTAATAAATACACACACACACAAACATATTTTATACATTTTACATTGGTAAATTTAATTTATTCATAATTATTATTAGTTAAAAGTTAATTGCATATTATACGTTGTCATATTATACATTGGCATACCGCATATTATAATTTACAACAAAAAACGTACTATTTTCCTCCGAGTAAAATTCTTGAAAATTAGTAATACTATTGTTAATTATTTACTTTTTTCAATTTTATCAATAACCTTTTAAAGGGGTGGAACCTATTTCTTTATTAAAATTTTTAGGCGTAATTTTAGGAACTAAAGGTCTGAAAATTAAACTGAAGGTAAATCCATGGTTACATACATCGTCTACAATAATAAATTGTTATATCTTCAGAAATAAAATGGTAGCGTAACGGGATATCAATTTTACTATAATCTTACTATTACCACGGATTAGATAATCTGATAATTAGATCAGCCGACCTGTGCTATTACTGTATATTTCACCGTGTACTTATATACTTGATTTTGATTAGCTGCTCGTTACGTTGACATATTTGTTTTTATCATCGTATTTTTGATGAAGAAGGGGAATGTGTGGGCAATAACCTTGTATTTTATTTCAATCATGGGGACCACCGACCATGTATATATTTATAAAAAAAAAACAATGATGGGGTCCCACGACTGTAGATAAACTGTATGCAACTTGCTAGTTGCTTATCGAGCTATAAAAAAAACGGCCACAAGAGTTCTTTTCTAAAAATTTGAAAAAGTGAGTAACTGCTAGCGCTCCTTGTGGATAAATCGTGTAACTTATTATCTTTCACATTGCGAAGTATAGGCCGATATGCAACCATTTTATCAATTCTGTGACCATTTATCTACAGCCATGACGTATCCTTACAATGTGTAATTTTGTGAATTGATAATATAATATCCGAGGATATGCATAATCTAGTATATTTGAGCCACGGGGGTTAATCTAATGTAAGCTAGTAGCCACTGTAAAGGGAGTCATCATGAAAAAAAAAAGATGAATTCATTCTGCGAGTCAATAATATGACCATAGACCTATGAATTTGACGGACCAGTCTCAGAATAGGCACTATGACACTATGGCAAAGCGTAATTATTATTATTCTGTGCAGCTGTGTTCTGTTATCACAGATTTTTAGAATACAGATAATAAATAATAATGTTTCATGTAATATCCGTAGGTTTAATAAAAATACTAATTTAATGTTTATCTCACAAATTGTTTATTATAAATGTTCTAATTAACGTTTATCTATATTTTAAATAATTATTCTTATTTTTATTTTACTCACAGTTGTTAAAATGAACAATGAAAGTATATTTTTTTATGAATTCCTAGTGAAAGTGTCATCTCGTTTTTTCATAACTCAATATTTATAAGTTAAAAATAATCGACAACTTCAAAATTTGATACTACTATAGTGAGTTTTATTGTATTGTATGTTATGTATATTATCTATATGTATGGTATGTAGCGTGACTTATATTTATGTAATTGGTCATAATTGTAATATAGTCTACACTGCAGCGGCTCCTAGACTTTTAGATCAAAGGTGCCTTTTTTTGGATTATATCAGCAGTGTCCTGCTGTGAAAAAAAACGAACCCTATATTTTTTATTTTCGTATGAACCGTGGTGCCCCTAGAATGAACTCATGCCCCAAGGGCACCATGGTGCCCAAAGTTTAGGAACTACTTTGTAGTCATATTTACCCTAAAAATTGGATAGCTATTTTGTATCTATTTTTTAGGAAATATTCTCGTATGTTTATAATTTTTTGTTGCAGTTGCTACAAAATGGCAGAATTTGTAGAATACCAACCATATAATATAAAACACTCTTTAAATGCCTACAACTACGGAGCAGAAATATTCCCATCTGTAAATAACATTCCTAAAAAGAATGAACCTAAGGAGGCATTAGAAAAGTTAAAAAATATACTAAGGTCTGAACCATGGGGAACCGAGTTTGCTTATTTAACTGGTAAGATATTATGTTAAATATTTTATAAGTTATTAATATGAAATTAAAAATTATAGTGTATTGGATTTTGTTTGTATAGTATGTTTTTATAAAAATAACCAGGTTTTTGTTAATTTTAATAACCATAATATGTATATTAATTTAAAACTGTAAAAATAAGTACCAAGGTATAATATTTTTAGCTAAAAAAAATAGGTAAACAAAAGAAAAAAATGTAAATGTAATTCTTTTTTAATAAAAACTAAAAATTTTCCATTTTATTTAATTATATATTACCTACTTAATATATAGTTATCTACTACAAACAATAAATATAATTAAACTACAGGGACTGATAAAAATTATTAACTTGTTTCAATAATATATTTATTTACTTTACGTTACTAATTGACTCCATAATAGTTACTAATATGTTACGATAATATCCAGTTTAATACATTTAAAAATATTATGTTATCTATCAAATGTTTTTAATATAGTTTTCTGTTTAAAGAAGATAGGTAAGAATAATAATACAAGAATAAAGAATATTTACATTAAATTTAATTAGATTGATTTGATTTGACTTATAGTCGTTTGCACCAACTATAGTTAAATTTTAAGTAGAGTTTAAGCTACAGTTTATGTATTGTTAAGCTCGCTACTATCCTTAAATTTTAAGCATAGTTGGTGCAAACAGTCTTTAGATTTTTAGTCTGACTAAGTGCTAATATTCCAACTGTCAATAACATATGCAAACCATGTACACAATCTTAATGGTGTTACTTTTAAAGGTAATAATTTATAGTCAATTCCGAAACTATTTATCATATTATGAAAGAAAATTACTTACAAAATTTGCTAAATACTTACATTGACAGCATTTATCATGGAGTGTTAAGCTTATAAAAGTAATATCCAAAGTGTGTTAGCACTTGAACCAGATGTAATATTTACTATATAGCTTCTTAACTCAAAAGTAATTAAAGAACTGTTTTAATGGCCTATTCTTTTTTTCTTTTTAGAAGCTGATAAAGAAACTACTTTAATGAAATTTTTGTATGCACGAAAAATGAACGAGTTTAAAACAGCTGAATTAATTCGCAATTATTTCCAATTCAGAAAGGAACATAAAGAATGGTTTTATCAAATGGAACCGTATGATCCACAAATTCAAATGGCTATTCAAGATGGATTTCCTTCTGTATTATCTAACAATGATAGGTTAATATTTCAGTTAATATAGAAAAAAATTATGAAAAATATTTTTGGTCAAATTCCAGATAGTGAATTAATATTTAAAATTCAAGAGACGCAAATATAATGACCAACAAATTTTTACAAAAAGAAAAAGAGCCAACTTATAAGCAAAAAAACACAATGTTTGTTTAACCCTTAGTTAGTTTGGCGAGTTTTGGTCACACTTAAATAAAGTATGGCCTGAGTCCATTTTTTACCTGAGTCATAGTGCATCCATTCTTACCCCACACGCCAATGACGGGTAAATAATGTTAATCACAATTAAAAACACAATAATAATTAAAATTTCGTTTAATGTAGCATTAATAATTAAATGTTAAATTTGTATTGTCTAAAAAGGATCCTAGATCAAATAAATATCGCGATACAATATGACTTACGAATTCACGTGACCAACAGTTCCCCCGTCATTGGAGCTTTATAAATATAAAAAAAAGTTTTTTTAATATCTAACAAGTCTATGACCTGTTAGGTCGGTTGGACAACTTTTGCTCTACTAGAGACGAGAGTTGCTATCCTGGGAAAGTGGTTATGGTGTGGTCGTTTCCCGTTGCTTTCTGTACCAGTCAGGTGGCCATTTCTCTCTCTAGACGGTTGCCCCGTCCAGCTAGGGAAACGGCCAGCGACTGAGATTTCAACCATGGCTAGTGCATAGAAACACTGCCGTGGTAACCCTCTCGGCCACGACGCTCGACTTTTTTAATACAATAAACTAAAACATAAATATTGTTTTTTGTTCTCATAAACACAAATAAATAAATTATTATTGATTAATATAAATTCCTGCTAACAAGGGGATTTTATCGATTATTTATTTTTTTGGTAAATTTGAATTGTCTTTCCAAGGTTTAGTCATTTATTAATTTAATATATTTAAATATATGTTTTTAATTCTTACAGACGTAGCCGAAGGATTCTTTTTATTGTATGTTCTCAGTGGAATACTGAACGTTATTGCTTACTCACAATTTACAGAGCTCTATTAGTGTCTTTGGAGCATTTAATCCAAGATATCAACACCCAATATAATGGACTTGTAATAATTATTGACTGGACAAATTTCACTGTTCGTCAGACAATGAATATAAGTCCTAGGCTATTACAAATAATGCTTCAAGGATTGCAAGAATGTTTTCCAGCTAGAATAAAAGCAGTTCACTTTATTAATCAACCCTGGTTCATAGAAGGACTTATGTCGGTAGTTAAACCATTCCTCAAAGACAAGACAAAACGTAAAGTATGTACATAAAATAATATTTTGAAAAAGTAAAAACATGTTTTAGTTGCTAAACTAAAAACAATTCCTCAGTAATTTTATTATCTGAAGTGAAGTTTTTTATTGGCAAATTGAAAAGTGCTGTTTTTATACAGTGCGTCAATTTTTTTTGTTTATAATTTTTTACACTTGAAAAATCATTTTGTTTCAGATCATTATGCATGGTTTAAATTTAAATACTTTACATAACTATTTCCCCAAGGATGTTCTGCCATCAGAGCTTGGCGGTGAACTTCCTCCATATGACTCCAGAACTTGGTTAAAATGTTTATTAGGATCTTCTCTTGGAGTTGATTTGTAATTTTATTTCTTGCACATATACCTACTGAAAGATTAATATATAATATATATTATAATTATTATATATTATTATTATTATTATTATTATTATTATTTTTTATAAAATGTAATATTATGTTCAATATTTTGTTTAATATTATGTTTGCAAATAACTTTATAATATTTTTTATTCTTATGTTTTCAAGAAGGTGAAGGCTAATTATAAGAATAAGCCCATTAAGTATTATTATTTTATTATTATTTTTAATAATCATCTCTTTGCTATAAATACTGTTAAAGTATTTTTAACTTTCTTGTTGAATCTTATAATTTGAAAACTAATTGTTATAATTGACTAATCTGTACTAATGTAATAGTTACAAATGCATCAAGAATAATATTTCTAAACTTTTTTGTTATAATTATTGTTAGTGATTTCTTCATAAGTGACCTACTGTGAAATATACATTTTTAAAAATCACAATGTTTATTGAAATATTTATTACACATAATACTTATTAGTCATTACTTTTAAAATATGTTTACTAATTAACTGTGATACATAACACTTTAATATGTGCTGTAATGTGTTTTTTATTTATAAATAACAATTAACAAACTATCATAAACAATGTGGGTCAAAATTCAAAACCTCCAGATTTGTGGTCCTTATTCATTGATGAATGGTCAAACAGGAAAGCTCTTCAAATTCAAGAAAATGCCTTTTACTACTCTTCGATTTGCTTATTCGTACTCGCTGTGTACGTTTAAACCCATCATACCATTCATAAGCGTTCCTTCCCAGTTTCCGCCAAATCATATTCCTACTGTAAAGTTTAAACCTTAAACATGTCTTGAGAAGAATCCTTGCTCATTATTTGTAGTATGTACTTCATTTAAATATTAACCCTAATGTAATATATTAATGCAATTTTTAAATGTAAATGCTTCATCGCCTAAAAAATTATGATATTTCAATACACTATTAGAACTTTTGGTAGCAATTCTTATATTTACATCACTAAATTACAAACCTACACAAATATGAATTATTAAACTGTATTTTAAAATCGTTTCATAGTTATAGGGTTTTCAAACCACATTTTAAAATTTTTCAAAAACTTTTTTGGGGTTAAAAAATTAAAAAAAAAAAATTTTACTTATATAAAATTCAAGTGATGTTCTTATCGTCTCTGAACCAGTTAAGTTTTTTTTGCTATTCGTTTACAGTTTTATCATGGGCGGTATGCTGAAAACTGACTACTTTAATGACTTAGAACACGTCATATTTCCCCGAACGAAAATTTTCAAAAATTTAAGTAATACTTATAAGTTAGTAGAATATCTGGCTAAGGTTCAAAATTTCCGATTTACATTTATTGGAAATATACACAATTTACGCAACTATTCTTAATATAACTGTATTTAAATGCAATATTATAGAATATAGATTAGGCGTATCTAAATCGATAGTGACCATATTTTTTACTATGCATGAATTCATTTCAGAATATATTAGTAAAAAATAGAAAAAAATAAATGCATTAGTTATAAATTACATGATAGTAAAATATATAATATTCATTATTATAGACATGTAATTATTTTTAGTTTTTAATTTAAATATGTTTACAGTTTTTTAGTCTTTAGACTCTAAAAATATTTTACATCTCATTTTCTGGGATTAAACAATGCTGTTGACGAATAGCAGGTAATTGTTTGCACTTCTAAACTGGTCTACTAATTTTTGTTCATGTTTGAGAACATCATTGGTGATTATGTATAAAACTGAATTCCTTTAATGTTTGACTCACAAATTTTAGTATTTTTTTTTTGAGGTAAGAATTTGATTGCATAATATTCTTTGCAAACTGGCCTTATAAACTAATTATTTAACCGTACCACCTGTACCGTCACATGGACTCTTTTCGTGCGCGATTGCATAACAATTCCACTCAGTCTCTACTCTCTAATCCAAAGTATGTTTTATGGTTACAAATATTAGCCATACTTATAAGTTATAAGTATGGCTAATTAATAATAACTCATTATTGAAATGTCCGAATATTAATTAGTTAATAAGAGTAATAATAGATCTATAATATTGTATATTTGACACAGTTTTATCAAGTAATAAATTAAATAATTGCGTAAGGACCTATAAAGAATGTGTAATACAATTTTCAAACGATTTTTAACTATACCTAGTCGCACACACTTAAGATGGTTTCACGTGGAGTGATTATACCCGGTGATTGGTTAACTATGGACCAGTCAATAACTTAGAAGATTTTAGACTTTTATTTTTTTTTTTGGGACAAATTTAATATATTTTTGAAAAATATAACCCCATCCCTTATAATATGTTAAAAACGTATGAACTTAAGAATTTTAAATGGTAACGTATATATTTTATTAACTCATTAAATTAGGAAAAATTTGCTGAACATTTTGACTGGTCGATAACCAGTTTTGGATAATTACTTTTCAAGTTATTCAATTTTAAAAGTTATGACGGGAGGGGAAGGGCGGTTGAGTAATGCGCGCAGATAAAAACATCTTCACTCTCCACCCTTTCTCCCGTCCTAAATTTTAAACTTTAATAACTTTGAAACTAATTATCCGAAACTGGTTATCGACCAGTCAAAATATTCAGCAAATTATTCATAATTCAAAAAGTTAATCAAACATGTACGTTACTATTTAAAACACTCAAGTTTATAAGATTTTAATGTATAAAGGACGGAGTTATAACTTTAAAAAATATATTAAATTTGTCCCAACTAATGACTAAAAATTTAAAAAAATAATAATTAAAAAAAGTCTTATATCTTATGAGTTATTGACTGGTCCATAGTTAATCAATCACCCGGTATAGTCTACTAAACTTACCTTTTTTTTCCCAAGTAATCGCCAACCTGGGAGGGGACTGTATGCACACTACTTCCTCCCAGGCAGCTACTAAACTTACATGGACTCTTATTTATCAGTGTAGCCAAGTAAAAGTTATTGTTTAACGTGATAAAGACGTTTAAAGCTTTTTGTCGTTTATTTGTAAATTTGGACGATGTACACGTATAAATATATGGGTGGTTCTCTGAAACTAAGGAATTTGTACATCCATTTTTTCACTTTAAAAAAAAATTAATTTTTTACGAATTTTTAATTTTTTAATTTTCCTTCGTAGAAATTCTTAGTTAGTAGCAAAATTTGAATTAAAAAAATTGCCATTTTAAGGGACTAAAAGATAAACTGAAATGTAAAATTTCAGTCCCTCATAATAATATTTTTTTGAAAAAATGAGGGGACTAGCTATGAGGGACTGAAAATCGCACCCAAATACATTAACTACTGGTTGAAATAAGGTTAGAGAAGCCATATTTTTGGAACACATATAGACTATAAAAGCACTTATTATGGAAAAAACAATAAGAGAAAAGACACTTCCAGTTAAAAAATACAGCTTTGTGAAGGCCTGAATGACGAATCTGCGGGGCTACGTTTTTCTCACTATCACATTGTTTAATAATCATCAAGAAATGAGATAAGCCAAATGCAGCCAATGTTACTTTTATGTTGACATTCAAGCAATGTTGCTATCTCTCAAAAACGCAATGCTAAGTAAAAGCTTTGAATTGCTGCCACTTTAGAAAAATATGGGGTCCTGAACTTAAAAGTAAGGGACACATGTTAAAAGGGTAAAATTAGGAAATTATTGAAGTACCTATTCAAGAAACCTTAATTGATTCTGAAAACTAGAGTATTTGCTTAACTGAATAATGTCAGGTTTTGATTTTTGAGAATTGAAGTCAAACATCTAGGACACGTTTAAAATGAGAAACCGGGATGTGCGACATTGCGAGGGACTGAAAATTCAACCATTTTTAACTTTTTTTTTAATTAAAAGGAGCCGATAGTTTAAGTATCTTAGTTTTGTTAAAAAACGTTGTTCCGGAACAATTTTACGTAAAGAGTGAACAAGTTTCCTAAAAATCAAAACACAAGTCTAGTAAAAGTTTCCGGATTTAAAATTCCTTAGTTTCGGAGAATTACCCGTGTAGCTTATTATTAGTACATATTTATAGTAATATTACCTGCATGCCAGATGTGTTTCCTGATGTCATTTTGTTCTCTGTATTGCAATACAATTTACTATTTAAATAATAAGAAACGCGACGTACACGGTTATCTTATGCACACATATTAAGATAAAGTAATGCAGACTGCGGTGTAAAGAACGTTAAATTAAATTTTGCGAAGTTAAGATAAGAGACTAGATCGCAAGCGGCAAGACTAGAGTGTGAACGCTACGAATGTAAGCTCCGAACTGAAGTTTGTACTTCTAAATTATAATGACGCCTATTCTCAAAACTACCGTAGTGACGGTCATGGTTCAAAGATAAGCATATTATGCAACAACTGAATAATACAAATCGAAAAGGAAAAATAATGTTATTCGTTAGAGAGATTAATCCTTACACTCTAATCATTATCTTTATACCTACTGAAAGATAAATTTAAAAAATAATTGGAATTTTCAAATCTTTTGTAGATTGCGTTTGTTTTTTTCCATCACAAATAAGTACATTGGTAGGTAATTAATGTAATGTAATATTTTTCTACAATTATATAAAAAATAATTCAGCAATATATTTTTCGTCGAAATCACACTCAGATTTAAAAACGAATTTGACCCAACTATGCTAACTTCTTCTACACTGATGTACACCGTACTTGGTTTTTTTGACATTTTAAGTTGTATAATTTATACCCGAGTTCAATATTATTACAAGATATTGTATTGTTATCCGAGATGAGTGTCTGTGTCAAGTTTCAGCAGCCCTCTACGACATCGGGAAGTGAATTAAATTAATTTTACAAGATTTGAAAAATACCCGTACAAACGTACGTACGTGTTAGCAAATTAGAGAAAAGCATGTAAAAACCTTAGCAAAACTTGTAGTGTCTGCAAAATTGGATTTTGCCTAGATTGTAATAATAGTCTAGCGCCAGCCGGGGCCCTGCGAATAAGTAATGGATGTTATTAACATCATGTTAATAGAAGCGGCCAATTGTCATAATGAAATTAATAGATGGATAATAGCTGTAAATAAATCTTACTTCTCATTAATATTAGAATTTAAATCAAAACTCATATCAAAGAAAACGAAAATTAGTTGAAATAAAACGCTTATTAGCCCTATAATAATGCTCTACGTATGTGGCGCATGAGCACCAACAAAGTCGGATGAAAAAACACTAATTACATTCATAACCTTACGTACGATTTATGACCCAAAGAGATACGAAGGGAATAACACTTATGAAAGGAGGACTAATGTAGAACTGAACAACATGTTCAATGACTAACGAGCGTTGAGCTAGATATAATATGAGTCCTCAAAAGGTGCAGTTTAAGCTGGGCCAGGGATGCCAGCCAATACAAAAATCACGATGTGAAGACCAGCTAAATAGGACTAAGGGACGTCCAAGACAGCGGTGGTGTGATCGAGTAAAAACTTACCTTAAACTCCTAGGAATACGAGTAGAGTGCAACTAGCTAAAGACTAGGAAACATAAAAGACATAGTGGAATCATCAATTAGCCTAAACGGTCTGGAATGACAAAAAAAGAAATCCATGAATAATTAATGCAGCAACTGCTATTTGCTACACAATTGTGCTTAACCTAAGCTGAACTGAGTCGTTATTTTAGGGGGTCTAAACATATTAGGATCATCATTAAAATCCCTCGGTAAACTTAAACTTTAAAGTTGCCTAGTTCACCTATCCCTTAAGGCTTCAATGGATATTCTGTTTGATCTTGTCACTAAAACCATTTACAATGCTTCCTTTAAAAATAATTATTAATGTATCTTTATACAGTAATTTATTCGTAAGCAGTTATTCATGTGTTATGCACAAAATAGTTTTCACATTTATAATTCCACAAATCAACAAAACAAAACGTTGGGGGGATAAAATCGAATTTAAATATAGACCTAAGCGCCAAAGGTTTTTTATTTGCGCCTCTAAGATAAACACATTATTAACAATCACGTTGTCTCTTTAAATATATCGTTTGTATTAACATGGATATGGTTTTGGGCTGGGGGTCATTTGGAAATTATGTGCGTGCGAACGCTGAACGTTACGAAATATATATATAAAGGGTGATTTTTTTATCATGAGCCACTCAATATCTCATAGGGTTTAATAAGAAATCAACCTTTTTTTTTTTCATATTGTTTTTATACAGCGTGATCTCAATTTTTCACAATTTTTTTTGTTTTTACCCCCCTTCCAACTTAGTTTTTTGGATAGCAACTTTTGAAACTTAAATGGTAACGTATATATTTTATTAACATTTTAAATTGAGAATAATGTACTAAAAATGTTGACTGGTCGACCAGTTTCGGATAACTATCTTTAATGTTATAAGAGTTTTAAAGTTAGGATGGAAGGGCAAGTGCGGTTGGGAAACATACGCGCAGATAAAAATAACACTACACTCCATCTTTCTTCCTGCCTAAACTTGAAACTTTTAAAACTTCATAAATAATTATCCGAAACTGGTTATCAACCAGTCAACATTTTCATTGCATTATTCTCAACTTAAAAAGTTAATAAAATATATACGTTACCATTTAAGTTTCAAAAGTTGCTATCAAAAAATCTAAGTTGGGAGGGGGGTAAAAACAAAAAAAAATTTTAATTTCTTATTAAACCCTATGAGATATTGAGTGGCTCATGATAAAAAAAATCACCCTTTACACATATTCTCTTGATACGGTTTTTGTCCTTTTGGCGAATACATCGCGTTTTTAGTTGTAATTTTGTGTTTTTTGAGTTTGGCTAACGTCTGGGAACAAATGACGGCGGCGGAGGGAGCTTCGCCGGTCAAGAACTTTCCAAAGAAAGACCAAGTGAAAACCAAGTTCGTTGCCATACGTTGGGCAGAATATCTTCGAAGACCGAAAATTCGCCTATAGCGCGTCTTTGACGACGGGGACATCTGCCCAGGCGCTAGGCGGATCGTTTCGAGGCTTTTGGCGCCCTCGAAGTCACCGAATGAGGTGAAATCAAAACGAAAAGTATTTTGTGTGAGCGAGTACAAGTCGTTTTTCTGTACGAATAACACATGGAATCCCGGCGCGTTTAGTATCAAACAGTAGTAGTAGTTGATGTTCATCCGATGACAGTTTTATACACAAAAACGTTAAAAAGTCTATCGCGGACAGCGAATGCAGTGTAACGTCTGTCGAAAGAAGCTATGTTATCGCAAAGAGGAAGGAGGAGACCGACGAGCGGAATTCTTCCTACTCCTCTTCAACGGACTTGTCATTAGTTAATAAGAAATTAAGAAGTCAAGGGCCACGAGGGCCGACACTTATCGCAAGGAAGGAAGGAGATTTTCAAGGTCATAACGGACAAAGCGACAGCTCTGATCCAGGCGGAGGTTAAGGTCAAGACGCTTGTGGAGGAGTTTACAAAGAGCAACATCTGTGCGTGTGGCGCGATCTAGCGGTCAAGCTTAAGACTACGTACATTTTTACATTTTTTTGTGGCCAAAATTCAAAAACATTTTCAGTATTTAAATATATAGGGTGTATAAGAAAGAACGTTTTTTTTTTAAAAAGCCATAACTCTTTTATTTTTGATCAGAATTTAAAAAATTGCATATGGTTGTGTTCAAAAGATAAAGGTCCAAGGTAATGTCTACAACTACTACTAAACACCCTATACAATTGTACTTCATAAAAAAATCATTGTGATTATACGCACCGTAATGCTATAGCCTATAAAATATTCATGATTCAATATTTTTCCCGGAAGCGGAGAAAATGACACTAATTTATTTTTCTTGTCTTGTTCTTCTCCTTCGTCTCAATTATTTGAGGTTGGCCAGTGGCTACCTTTGTCCTAAACCTTCACCCGACACGATCAGAACCTCTTGACCTTTTTTCGGTCTTCCTCAATCCTCTTCCATTCTTCCTAGTTCCTCCTACGTTTATTTTTATTAGGTACCATACTTACTGTTATATCCAATTCCTCACTCCTCATAACACGCCCAAACCATCTCAGTCTATTTTCTCTCATTTTATCCGCTATAGAAGATACACCTATGCTACCTCTTACGTATTCGTTTCTTATTCTATTTTCTCTCGTCACTCCACTCATCCACCTAAGCATTCTAATCTCCGCCACACTCATTCTTTTTTATTTTCCTGTTTACCGCCGAACAATTTAAATCATAAAACATAGTTGGTCTCACTACACTCTTGTAAAACTCACCTTGAAATCTCATTGGAATTTTCTTATCATATAACTCACCTGACGCTTCTCTCCGCTTCATCCAACTTAGCCCTACGTCTCACAACCGTTGTCAAAGTTACCGTTCTTTAGTACAAAAGATCCTAAATACTTAAAACTCTCAACTTCGCCTACTACATCACCACTTTTTTGCCACAATTGTCTTCCGCGATCCGTCGTCGATTTCTCTGACATAAAACCTAACTGTTTTTTTACATATTGTTGTCTCACTTCTATTTCTCTTTTTTATAATCTTTACTCGGATACTATGACTCTTCAGTTTTATTCTTCTATAGGTTCCACATTTTTGCATATCTCCTTTGCCTTTAAATATACTTAGGTACTACAAAACTCTTCCCCCGGTCGTCTGGCAGTCTCCCCTCTACTAGCAGTTCATTTAAAAAAATCTTTCAAACAACATAGGAGCAAACCTTAAAATGCCCTCACTAGGCCACCTCAACTGGTCAGACAGCCTTTTCTTTTTCATTGCTCTCATAGCCCATTACACTTTCTCCTCTCTGACTAAACCGACCAGACCTTTGCTCCTTGGATACTCCTCATTCAGCAATTTCTCAATATAGTATTTCTATTTCTTTTTCACATCCTTATAATTCGATAACACCGGTCACCGGCTTATTATTTACCATACATTTTGAAAATCCCTGGACTGTTTTTCCAACCTAACCTAATACATCGTTTATATTTTAGCAAAAAGTACAGTATTTACTTATTGATAAGTATAATTGTGATGTACTATTACAATTATATAATGTATACTGAATGTTAAATTTTCTGTTTTTTTTAAACTTTTGAAGTAAAAAAATTTAACCATAATATCCATAATACCGGTTTAATATTTTAATTTATCATACTAGAAAATTTACCTTGAGTGGATGTAAATGTTTTTTTTTGCAATGTTAGCTAAAACTAGTTACATTTAATTATTTTAAGACCAATTAAAAATATTATATGACATCTTGTTTAAAAAGAAACTCTTATTAATTT